GTTCACTGAGCCTCCGTGACCTGCCCTCTCGAACGTGTGCTGGGATGTGTAGAGGGATCAGTCCACGCTTCATAGTCGACACAGTGACTTGTGATCTCACTCTGGACAGGGCGTCATGGGGTCTGTCGGGGTAATCTGTACTTGGTGTACCCGCTGGTGTAGTCGCTTCGTCTTGGAATTCTGGGCTAAAGTTTGCCATGGCAGCTCCTCTGGTATCGAAGTACTCTGTATCTTCTGGATTCTCGGGTGCCGGAATGAAGGATGCTTCATCGTCTCGAAGGGTGTCCCAGTTGATGTCAGCGAACCACGGGTGGCTCCGAATTTCTTCTCCGCCGCTAGCGTATTTATCGTCCTTGTTCGCCCCAAGTCGCTGTGCAGGATCAGAACACATCAAACGATTCATGAGGTCCTTTGCGTCATCTGATATGTCATACAACTCATCATCATCCTCAGGCCAGTCGATTCTTCGCGCAAGGATATTTTGAAAAACCTCATCCGGTGTATCGGCATGGAAAGGAGGATATCCATACAAGGACTCGAACAAGATGCATCCTAGAGACCACCAATCGCTTACTTCATCTTGACCATTGCCAGCGATAGTCTCCGGGGCAAGATAATCAGGCGTGCCAACGAACTTTCGGTCGCTGTCTTCTGGATCGAACAGAGTCATTGGCGGAGGTGGCATTGCAGATGACGATGGTGCAAGTGCGCTGTTCTGAGCTATCACAGACTGACTCATAGAGTTGGGTGCAGGGTAAAGGTCTGGCGAACCATCATCACTATAAGCCTCTTCTTCGATCGGGGATCGGCCACGAGGTTGACCAAATGAGTCCTCAGCTATGGAAAAGCGACGGAACATTGCCTGCAGTGCATCGCTGTCCTGACTGTCGCTCCGGGTTCCGGAGGTCCGCCTTGAAGGTTCCCGGCTTTGTTGGGAGGTCTCCCGGTTCAGACTGAAGTACGACGGTTGACCAATATCTCCAGCGAGAGCAGGTGTCATAGAGGGTGTCTGTGAAGGTGAGTGGTTCAGGTCAAAGGATGCAGACCGTGAAGACCCCACAGACGTGGCGCGATGGAATGGGCCAGTCTTAAGCAGGTCGGGTGCAGGCTCAACGGACTTGAGTGCACGCTTTTGTCGACCAATCATACCCATGCGTGATAGACCGAAGTCAGTAAGCTTGAGATGGCCTTTCCCATCGATGAGAAGATTATCTGGTTTGAGATCGCGATGGACGATGCTCCGGCTGTGCAGATGTTCCACACCGAGTACTACCTCAGCAAGATACTTCTTCGCCCAGTCTTCTGGTAAAGCACCCAGAACCTTGATGAGCGAGGCACAATCACCACCATTCAGATACTCCATGACAAGATAGAGATAGTCCTTGCTAGAGAAGGTCCAATATAGTTTAGCCACGAAATCACTCTCACCTTGCCACATCATGATAGCTCGTTCAGCCTTGACATTGGTGACTTGATTCTTGGCAACCATGTCGGCCTTTTTCAGCACCTTGATGGCGTAGTATTCTCCAGTGGATTTCTTCTTGGCAAGGTAAACACTACCGAAAGCACCTTTGCTGATTGGCTTGATGATCTCGAAATCTTTGATGGACGGAGGTACTGCGCGCGGTTGCGGCTGTGTGGTAGGAATCAAGCGAGGAGAAACAGGCCTAGGGCCATCTGATCCGGCGGTAGAAGACTGTCGACGGTGATGGTTGAGAGCATGGACCATGGCCGGCGAAGAAAACTCCGTAGTAGGTAGGATTGGTGATGTGATGGGTGACTGCAAAGCCTCGACACCACTTGGGAGACGTGGCTTGTTGGTCCGGAGAGGCGAAGATGGTGGAGGCACCATGGATCGAGCTGGCGAATGCTGACGACTAGACATTACACTTGGCAGTATCAAGCTCTTACGCTTCCGTTCACGAGAACTAGCTACCCTGCTCAGTCCCACATCAGATGTCGCTGGTGAGTCTGCTCGACGAGGACCAGACAAGACAGATGAACGCATGCTGGTATCACTATCAGCACCAGCATCGCTCTCAAAATGCATTGATTGGCGCTTGCTCTGGGTCGCGATACTAATCGCGCCCGCATGGGATCGTGGTGTTTGACATCCTCCCCTCGGACTGCTAGAACGGTTTGAGCCGGCTACAGAAGATTCGCGACGTCCAACTCTAGCTGGTAAGGAAGCGTCGGATGTGTTACGAAGAGCTTGTGCCATGGACGAAGGAGCGTCGAAGGAACCAGGGAATATTCCCTCTTCACCAGGTGCTGTATCGGTATCGTTAGCGTCTGATGGTATCTCTTCTTCAGGCTGCTCGTCTTCGGAAGAAGTGTCTTCGCCAGCCGCAATACGAGCGGCTTTCAGAATCGCAGCTTCTATGCATTCCTGGACTAATATATCAAATTCGATACGGAGACGTTCAGAGTACTCGAGTACCCTCCTGTGGCGAGTAACAGCGTCGATCTTTGCTCTTGCGAGCCGGCTAGTGTCTTCGCACAATAGCTTCAGCCCCTCAGTATGGTCGACCGAGCCTGTAGTTGGTGATTGCCACTGAAGAACTTGCGATATGCGATTCTCCGATTGCGGTGATTGTGTACGAATCTCGGTGGCTGCCGGACCACGCCCGTTATCCTTGACTGCTGGCGTGTTGATTTCTAGAGCTGTATCGCACAGGTCCAGGACCAACTCAACGATACGAGCCAAAGGTCTTCGTACAGCGAAAGATCGTGCGCGATGGTGACCAAATCCAGTCGAACGCTCGGAGCGCTCGCGGGATCTCGAAGGCGGCGATGCAGGGGAATTGCGTCCTGAGGGGGTACCTGATGATGGTGTTGATGTCGAATGGATAATCAGTCCTTTGTACTCGGCAGGCTGAAGCGGTTGTACGGAATCGACTGCTGCGGCCCTTGAACGCTGGCTATGAGATTCGAGTGTATCCAACACCCTTACGATAGCATTGCGGTGCTCGGAGAGTGTTTCTTGCGCCATCTGTACGTCCATCTCGGCACGGTGCTCTTGCAAGCACAGTTCGGAATGTTTCTCAAACCACCAGGGCGTGATTTGTCGTTCGCAGATTCGGCAGAGGACAGGAAGCGGTGGCGCAACGTCACCCGGGTCTGTCGCGCTCTGCTCAGCAAGACCAGTAAGGTAGTGGGCAAGGACTTCGGCGCCGACTCCAAGGGACTCGACAAGAACTTCTGGAAGGTCAATCGTCACCTCGCGAATAATTGACGGCCGGACCATCCACATTGTCTGTCTGGGTTAGCACGCTGAGAAGGAGAATTGGGTTCAGACGTACATGACTCTCCGCTCCAGTGGTTCGGTCGTAGACCATGATGCCTTGTGCTTCAAGGTTCAGAAGCTGATCCTCTTCCTCTTCTACGTGGGTTGGAGACATGGGCAGCGACTCTTGGCCCTCTGCGGCGGAATGTCTTGATTGCCGCTTGCGTAGGATGGAACGAGGTCCTAGCCGTACGGTGAAGCGGGCAATGTGACTCCTGGAATCATCCTTTCTGACTGACTCGATGGTGTCGGCAAAGCCATCGGCTCCTCCGCATATGATTTCAAGCACAGGCTTGCCCGTGACTTCCTTGGGCAGGGAGCCAATGACGTCGGTCCACGAAGGGCTGACATAGCGAATCTTGCCCTCGAGATCCAGGTCCATGATGATGTTCAGGCTGTGCTCGGCGGCCTCCTTGAGGTCGGCACGCTCGTTGCGCATGTCCTGGCTGACGGTACGTTCCATGTTCTGGCGATGGCCGACGGAGCCCACAGCCTCCTGCTTGAGAGCAGTGACTGCGGGCGGGGCAAGCGTCGTCGGCTTCTTGTCGTCGGCCATGGCTGAGGTGGGTTGCTGCATGTACATTGGGCGCCGCTATCGCTGCGAGAGCCCGTCGCCGAGGGGGATGGGCGGGTGCCCGAGGGCTGGCTGGTGCTGGGCTATGCGCAGAGAGCTGCCAGGACCATGGTGGGAAAGAGACGACGGTCCGGAAGAGTCGGGCGTGTAGGTCAAAGGTACGCGTTGTTGAGCAGGACGGTGGGTAGTGCTTGCTGACTGCAACGAGAGTGGGCCGCGAAACCGGGATGAGGGGACTAGTCGCGCTGCATGATGGTGCTAGGGGAGCGATTGGGTGATGTAATGAGCGTCGGATGGAGCGTTGGTAGTGTAGAGCGTGGGTGTGGGCAGTAGCAGTAGTGCCTGAGGGTGCTGGCGACGGATGGTGTGTTCCCTATTCGGCTGCGGCGGTGGTGGTGGTGGTGGTGGTGATGAACGGACGGGAGAGGGGCACACAGTCGATGTCTTAGCCGGCAGCACGACGACTTGGGGACGAGGTGGACAAAAAAGAAACAACGCCAGGCGAGCGGATGAGCAGCTGCAGGCATGGAATGGGCCCCTTCGGCACGCTATCCAGCTGGCAAAAGTCCCCACGCAGCAAGCAAGCACGCGTCGAGTGGAAGTCACACGGAAAACAGCCGTGCAGTGGGCGGAGACTAAGCCTGGCTAGTGCCCCAGCTACGGCTGCACATCCTGGCCGCCAAAATAACGGCAGAACGTCTTGCTTCTGTTTCACCCGACACTGCCACTGAACAGCGGCGTTGCGCAATCAATCCAGCCAGACAGCCATGGCTGCAAGAGGGATGCCATGTTGCTGCCCTTGTGTTGATGTCCTCACCTCGGGCGCGCGCCACAGGCCTCCCGTCCACTGACCGCTTCCACTCTGCATGCTCCCGGCAATCCCTGGATCAAGTGCAGCCCATTGTGGCATTTGCTCGCCCATGTCTCTTGTCAGCTTGGGCGACGACACGAGACGACGCGGGCATGTAAACACTATTCTGCAAACCCACGCTTGTAGTCAGCCCTTACTATCTGCCCCTCTTCCCCAGCGCCGCCGATTGCGCCAAACGATAACTAGACTGCTCGGACAATAATGTCGAGCGGCTACGGTGCATCATCTCGAACGCATGTTCACGCCAGCATCAGCCGAGCATCATCACCATGGCCCCCTCAATTAACACGGCCCAGCGTTGCACCACCTGTGCCGTTGTTGCTCTCGACAACAATCGTGCCCCTCGCCAGGACCTGCAGCGTCGCCGTGGATACACCACCTGGGAAGACGTGCAGATCGCTTCTGTCCGCCCAATCACACCCTCGTCGCATGCACCTCTGTTCCTTCCCCGTCTTGCTTGGACGCGGCCCAGGCCCGCTACGTCTGCACCTAAGCCCGGCTTGTCTGCGGCCATACAGACATTACACACACTGGAGCGAACCGCATGCTATTCCCGCTCCGTACCATTCCTATTCGACATTCATCAGGGAACCGTCTAGAGAGCTCCATGTTGGATGCGTCCAGACAAATTGTGTCCAAGTGCAGCGCAGCACCACACCCTCACCAGACTAGCTTTGCGTTAGCGACATTCGCCACCTGGGCAACGACGTACATCGAGAGGGGATATTAACTAAGATTTATTGAATAACGGCCAGATGATGTTACATGCCATGACATCTCCCAGTGTGCCGAAGCCGAGCGTTAGAGACGTTGCGATAACGCTGCCGCTTCCGTGCCGAAACCTTCGCTTTATCACGTGCTGTTCCGAACGTCCGTGGATGTATGCTTCAAGTACAGTTTACACCATTGACCGTCAAGCTAGTCAAAGTACACTGCCTCCGGCTTGTGCACACAAATCTTCCCCGACGATTCACTCTTGAGTACTACCCTGGGATCTTCTTTGCTCGCCTTGACGCTCTTTCCATCAACCGTCTTCTCCTCGTACAGGACCTCGACCACTTCGCCGTCGACGTAGCCAGGTAGTGAGTGCCATTGAACTTTCTGGCCCTTCTTCGGTACCCGAGTCTTGTCGCCGGCAGCTCCAATTGGTTCATCATGCTTTCCACTCGCACTTTTCTGTTTCTTGCTCGGAGCCTCTGCATTGGCACCGCGTCCACGCTTTTTGCCTGGGTGGTCGTCCTGCGCTGAGCCTTTGGACTTGCGGTTAGACTCCAAGAACTTCTGGTATTCCCTTTGGTCGTTCTCCATGTGGTCTGGATCATCCCACTGTGTGGTGCAGTCCGTCTTGCTCTTCTTTTCGATCTTGGTATATGTGTTGGTATCGTCCTCTTTGCTACCATCCTTTCTGGCGTGAGCAGCCTTTGAAGTGTTGGCGACGTGTTGCTTGCCCTCCTTGCTTCCTTCCTGCTTCTTTGCATCTGTCTCTTCCTTTTCCTTCTCACTCATCTGTTCCCATGCCTTCTTCGGTAGGTATCGATGTTCTAGACCATTTTCATCCTTCGCGCTTCCGCTGCCTTCTTTGGTCTGCCACTCCTCCTCTGTCCATTTGTCGAGGTGCTTCGCACTATCGTCCTTCTTATCTGTGGTGTAGTCTCCGCCGCGTTTCTTGTACTCGGAAGCCATCATCTGCGCCTGCAACAGACGTGTCAGTGCTGCCCATAGTACCCGCGATCATTGGATATACCTTTCGAGCGGACCATTGGCCAGGCGCACCTCCTTTCCCGCCAGCCTGAATCTCTTCCTTGACCTCATCGCGAAGCTCTGGATCTGTGTACTTATCGTCGGTCTTGGAAGGCATTTTAGATGACACTAGTCTAGTAGTGAATCTTGGAGAAATTGTAATCACACAAGGCGCACGGTATGCGGAAGCAAATGACAACGTTCGGGAGAAAGTCGTGCGATACATTCCAGAAGAACGGGCGTCCAGCTGCCAATCTTTGTACTACCCCGGATTTCCTACCACTGACGTACAGGTACCTGCGCAAGCTCCAACCCTCCTCATCTTAAGCACCCAGCCACCCAGAATCACCTACATCATGAAGTCTTCACAATTCTTCTTCTAGGCGGCCAGAGCACCTTGAAAGCTGGTACGGCACGTTTCGCCCCTTTCACAAGCGCGTCGGGATGACATCAATGACTTCTTGATATCTCGCTTTGGGATGGTGTCGACGCTCGGACCCAGGGCTGCGCAAAGAATGAGGAGAAGCCACTTAACGTACAGCACCCGGTTAACTACTCGACAAGTCTCGCGAACCCCTCAACCCCTACGCTGGAATGTCGTCGCGCAGGTAGGTGCACTTATGTCGCACATTTCCCTGGCATGAAGACGCATTGCGCGTCTTTTCGGTATTCAAGCCAGACAGCTCCTCAGATCATGCGCGCTTTACGCCGATATGGGCCGGTCCGAAGCTAGCGTGCCATAGGCATGGGCTAGTTGTCAAGCGCAACCATCACTTTGCAATTATTGTTCACTGTCCTGCATTTACCTGCGCGAGTGACTGGAATGCGCATGCCGTTGCGTGTTCTAATATGGAAAATGTAGCACCATTGTTTTTGTGGAGTCTGCAAAGTCTATGAAACGTGATCAGCATAGAGGCGCACGTGTTGAAGCACTGTCGTATCGTCGCATCAACAAGATTCTGTTGGTCAAGTAAAGTATCTTGAGCTGATGTGGTTATCCCAGATTGTCCCTGTCAGCTCAGGTCACCTTATCAACATCGAAATGAATTCTCTCCAAACAGAAGTCCTAACCAACACGCTTTTCGACGGGAATCACCCTGATTTGGAAAGTTGGTAGCTCCCTGCAAAGCGTGAAGGCAGGCTAGCTATCGATCTATCAATTTGGCAATCGCCCCACCATTGCATAGTCCGAGTGATCGTGATATGCGTAAGCCATTCTCTTTTGCTGTCTCCCAGCTGGGGAATCCTCGAGTTTTCTCGACGACAAGGGCGCTGTTGTTCAAGCTCATGCGGTCTGATCCCTATATTCTTACTTATCCTGCCGACCCATATTTTACCATGAACTTCGGGTTTTGGCTAATGTTCGGCCAAGTACAAGCACGGTACGCACTACCTTAGCAGTGCTTAGGGTGACCCTCCGTCATGGCATTTAACGCGTGCACTATCTTTAATAACGCATCTGCACTGCAGCCAAATTTCTCTACCTCTCCTGAGATTCACGGTTACGACGGCTGTGTGAGAGTTGCTAGTAAAGTTACAAGAACGCCTTCTCCGTGTGCGGCGTACGGTAGCTTCCCCATACTCATTGAAACTCTCATCTACTACACCCTTTGGAGGCTCCTAGACAGAACCGGCGGGTTTCTAGAGGACACCACAATGTGCTGGCGCCCTTTCATCCACACAGCAGGAGCATCTAGATGCGAGAGTGAGCGCCTGACCTACCCTAAAAGGTGTTTGTGGAAGGCTCTTGAGAAACATGGAGTAGGGCTATGGTCCACATGTGATGTAAAGGTTGTAATCTAACATTATTGACGTCTGCGGTGAAAGTCCTATAAGAATGTGTGCACGTAGTCGCAGTGGTCAACGTACATCTCTTGCTGTCTTTGTAAAAGCATACTCAACTATTCCTAACGATGCGTCTTGTTCCAGTCTTGTTCGTAGCGTCCAGCACGGCACTTCCTGCTGTGCTTCACTCCCGGACAGCCCTACTGAACGCACTTCTACCTGACATCTCCCTCCCGATTGACTTCTCTTTCGGCGTCCGCGTACCAACTTCCTCCAACCCATCTTCTTCCAACCCTCTAGCCCTCTTGTTGAACGGCTACCAGATTCAGATTCCGCTTATCGCAAAATCTGGGACTCTCGTCTCTTGGATAGCAAACTACGCAGACGGAAAGCCATACAATACGCAATTCACTTCCATCAACCCGTCGGCCCCTAGAAATTTAACTACAGACTCAGACTCCATCTCACAGCAAGGTGGAAACAGCTTCACAAACGCAACAGCATTAGCAGACGGTCGACAGGCTCGTGTCATCACCACATCCTTCTCCTCGGGCAATGCCGCATCTGCCGCAGCGGCGGCTCTTGACGGGACAACCTCGTCTTCCACATCCTCATCAGGAGCCTCCAACAGCACAGCAGTTGCGACCACAAATGCATTAGGCGAAGTGCTCATCTTGACCTCCGCCAATACCGCCAACGCCTTGAACTCGCAATCGATTCAGAATGCGCGAGGCGCGGAAGCAGCATCGTCATGCGCCGCCGACTCGGGCCCAGCTGCATCCGCAGAAGCTGAGCAGATAAACAGCCTTTACATTCCTATTGGCACTTCTCCTGATGGCAAGGATACCTACTGGTTGAAAAGCTCGGCCTATGCGGCGTGTTCGGCGGGTGTGGATGCACCGACACAGGGTGGTAGCTCGAGTTCAGGTAGCCAGGCCTCTTTGACGGGGGTGAGCAGCAGTGTTACTTGTAATGGGGCCACGAGCAATGACCAGACAAAGAGCACGACATACAAAGTCAGCGTCAAGGGGAGGTATACTCTGTTGAAGGGGTTTAACGGCGCGGTTGGTGGACAGCGAGTTGCGGACAGTCAAAGCCGGTGTTAGATGGGTTCGAGAAGATTTGTTGTTGTTGTACATTGTAAATCTGAGAGACAACGATTCTTTGAAATGCTATTCTTGTTCTAAGTCCTGAGTGCCGTTGTTTGGTATGAGAATCGTAACGTCTTCGGCCAGTAAGAATTTGAAAGCGATTGATCAACCTGCGGCTAGACATGTATACCTTGTTCGTCTCTCTCACCGGGTTCGGTAGATAAATTCTTATTGTTGCATGAACTCGGAGCGTTTTGCGCTTCTTTTTACTCGGTTTTCGGAAGTACGTTTCCAGTGAGGCGTCTCTTATCCATTCTTGTTTTCACAACCACGATCACCGCACAAACAATAAGACTCCTGCGAGGAGTTTTTTCTCGCACTCACTTCTTTCTATGTTACCACGACGTCGTTGCGATTAGATGGTACAATAGCAATCGCTCGTCAGACACACAAGGGTTTCAATGGTGGAACAACAAGTCGTGCCAGCATGATGACCCCAAGGTCATTCCAACACGCATCCGTAGACTCACCGCCTTTTCATTACGGCATGCCGGAGAATGAAGACGATGGGAAGAGAGGGCAAAAAGCATGGAAGCACCAAGTGGAGATCAGCGGGTAATCGATACGGGGGCAGGGAGCATGGGCCTCCATCGCCAAGATGCGGGGAGAGCTCCTGCCCCAACATGGATGGCTAACGGCACCAGCCATGCAAGGTACCACAGCTGTTGTAGCGTGCAGCTGACGTTGAAGCCATCTCTACATAACCCGCGCCCAAACTTCCTCGCACCATCTCATCTTCACCCAACATGGGCGGAGAATCTCATCGCAATATGCCGGTGCCGGTCGCGAAAGATTACCCCCAGCTGGCGGCTGGTCCGGTTGGCAAGCAGATCCACAGCATCTATCAGAGTCGCTTGAGGCAGTTTGTTGATGGCGGACAGTACAGGGAACAGAGTCTTATTGGGTAAGCATACAGCTACACC